GCTGTATATAACACCAAGCAGGGGAGCAACGTGGATGCTTCTTGGTCCTACGTAAGTGGTCGGTCTTTCTTTTGCTGTCCCGGCAGGGCCTTTAGGTGTAGTCAGTTCATCACCGCACACATGTGATATTCTTAGGTCAGAACTCTTAGATCCAAAGAATAAAATGTAACCGTAATTAACATTATTTAGCACACCCTTGAAGTCATCCAAGCATATAAAAGTTATTGGTCTGGACTCGGCAAATGGTAAGGGTCTGAATTGTTCTGAAATATTTGAATGTGCCGCAAGCACCACATAGCCAGAGAGCCTTTGTGTGTTGTAAATTGGAGTAGGCATTTACGCTCTGGCTTTCTTCTTTAATACTGGATGCAGTATGTAAAAGAGCACTGTGTATGTACTTAGATGTATATCTTCTTGTGAATTATTTGTATATTATTTTGACAACAGTCAGGTGTAATGGCAATGTACTGGAGGTAAGTGTTGCTATTTTCTAGTTTAAGGACGGTTTGCCTGCAAGAACCCTGGGGTTTATTTTCTTTGGGTGGGCCTTTCTGATAGCAGAAGAACAAAAGAAAACATTTTAAATATAGGAGAAATTCTGGAAAATTCTGCTCTTAAATGCTTTTGAAATGGTCAAAGTATTGCCTAGGCATGTTGTCTTTGGACTTCTGAGACTCATTTCCATCTCTGCTAAAATGGGACTGCAGGCTACCTTGCAAGAGAACTGTCAGAATCAGCCTGTGAATATTGATGAAGAAACTTCGTGGTGAAAAAAAAAATAATATATGCTACATATATTATTAATAATTATGTGACTCCTGAAAAATCCCATACTGTATCACAAAGCTGGTATTGTCCAGTGACTACACTCTTGGCACTGCGTGCTACAGTAAACTGTATACTGAAAACTCATACTAATGGAAAGGTATACAGGATTCCATTGGTAAGTGATTTATAGTGACTTCCTATTATAAACAAGAGGGAACAAATATCCCGCCTTGCTGGTTTCTTTGGGCGGATGGTGAGAGCAGAATGAGACATTCCTGGCCAGGCAAAAGCTGGTTCTCTGGATGCTTGCAACTGGGAGCAGAATGAAGCACCAGAAAGTGAGGTATAAATGACAATCCCTAATTATAAATGATTGAATTTGCATTTTCATAGTGCTTTAAACTTTCCAGTTGTAGAGCAAATGACCACTGTTTTAAGTGATTTCCAAATGTGTAACAAAAAGATGTTTCTGATGTTTAATATTAGATAGACTTACTATAGGATCTCAATATATGCTGAAAGCCTATCAATATCCTTTCACAAGAAGCACATGGCTTTCTGAGACAGAGGAAACCACCTTCAGCAGCAGCTTCTTTTGGGGTTTCAATTAATAAATACGCTATTGAGCACAGCTGTGTTTAGGAAAGTTATTTGTGCTGGCCAGTGGTATGCTGTTGATAAACTTCAGCGTACACCCTAAATAAGTCTTGGGAACAGCGTGGAATATAATAATGCATCAGCATTGGCTTTCTCTGGAGTCACTTGACACATTGATCTAAGCTTGACAAGTCTGTAGGGGTTGAAATTTGTGTGACAGCCTGCCTTGATCCAACTAGTGGGAGGACCACACTTTTTCAGGAGGGACCAGAGGTGGCTGCCACCTAAGGCATGTTAGATTAAAGTTAACCACAGCGCTTGGAGAGGGCAGCTATGGTGCATCCTTGGTACCTTGTATAAAGTGCTGCCTCTCACGTAGTGAGAGAGGACTCATGAGTGAAGTGCGAGGTCTGCCCATCAGCACTTGCTGTGGGTGAGTCCTTAGCTGAGGCTACTCAGATTCAGTACGCTGCATCATTTTTCCATTCCTTCCATCACCATTTCCAGAGATGTTACCCAGTGGCATTTCCTCGTTGCCTCAGAGAAGAAACCTAGGAACATGTTGTGCGATGGTCAAGAAATCAAACACTTTCGATGTTGAGAATGCTGTTCTTTGATTACATTCATGAAACGGTCCCACCAAAATGTTGCTTTTACAGTTGAAATATGCTTTGCAATTGTTGTGCAGTTACGTCAAATATCAAAAGCTTTAATTATCAAACGCTTTAGTAGTCAGGGGTAGAGCAGGTAGATTGCAAAGGATGAAGAAAAAGCGAAATGTCAGGCAAGATTCACCTTTTTTTTTTAAAAAAAAATTGATAAAGTTTTGTCATCTATGTTCCCTCTCTTGTCAGTGAAGAGCCAGACATGGCCAGACTGCAGTTCTTCCAGGCTGAGCTAAACAGTTAGGCTGTAGTTACACCACCAGTTTTATCTCCAAAGGAGAGATATGGTCCTATCCTCATCCAGCTCACAGCTCACATCCACATGGATGATAATGCTGCCCAAAGGGAAACAGTAGGAGGAGGTGACCATAGAAGAGGGCTTCACAGTCTGGTTTTGCAGCAGCACTCAGGGATGTTGGACTGCGGTGTTAGATAGGTGGGCTGAAACCACTTCTTGGAGGACATCTCTCTTGTTTGTGAACAGAGTCTGGACAACTAGCCTGAATAAAGACACATTATTTAGATGGCAGGTTCATGGCAAGTGAGGTGAACCCTACTCTTCGTTTTGAGTTGGATCAAGTTGGTTTGATGGGCAAGATGTCAAGAAGAGTGTGGGGAATGGTCTTTGTCTCTCTCAGTGTGGCTGTCCCCATCCAAAAAATGGTGGTAGTACTTATTTCCTTCACGAAGGGCTGTTCAGACAGATGTGAGCTGCTTGGATGCTCTGGTAGTGCAAACTGGGATATGCTGTCAGAGGTTTGGTATAACAGAAAAGGATTTTTGGCAAGAAAAAGAGGGGCTGTGCTTTGAAATGATGGATGTTCAGACTTCATTGTAGTAACATGCTTTTACAGCAGTTATTAGCAAGAGCTTTGCAAATTATCAATGATGGTTTTATTGTAACCCAGTTTCGAGTTTCTTTGACATAAATTATTTGCTTGAAAAAACATAAAATCTGAATAGAATATAAAAAGACTTGTAATTCAGGAAAAATCTTCAGCAAAATTAAAGAATGGGTAGCTCTTTGCTCTTGGATTTTATTTTTTAGCTTTGCTACTGCTTTTATACCATGGGCAAGCTGCTTTCTTTTAGAGCTGGCTAAACACCAGTAAAAAATATTTGCAAATACTCCTTCAAATAAACGCTGGAATTGGAATGTGTGTCACCATTCACACCTCCTTTCCTCAGAAGTTTGTACAAGCAATTTTTTTGTTCATAGGAAATATTTTCCAACAGCAAAAGAAACTGACAGATGCTTGAGAGAGGTGTATTTATATCCAGGTTTGCTCTGGCAACGACGTTCTCTATTACTTGCCATTTCCATTTCTATACCTACTGACCTATTCAGTCCTAAACCTCCCCTTTAAAATTGTCTCCATTAAAAAAAAATCAAGCAGGGCTGAAAATTATTTGTAGCCAAGTACAGCATGAAGAAGGAGACTTTTGGTGTCATTCAGTACCTCTCTCTGGATCAAATGTTTCTTTTTTCCTTGGTTCCCTCTTCTCTGCATAGCTTGAACTTCCCCCTCTTGAATCCCATTCAAGCATTGATCTAGGAGAGCTTAAGAGATACTGATTTAAGATGTGCTCTTTTGGAACAAAATGAAAACCTTGGTCACTTACGGACATGTGTTTATAAAACTGTTTTGCAAAAGGATGGAGGCCTGTTAAATCAAACAGCTTGGCAAACATCTGACCTCTGAAATTACAGCTGGTCTGCATTTCTTCTGGTGAGATTGTGGTTTCCAGTGGTCACCTCCAAGTGCTGGGGAGTGCTGTTGGGCTGAGTTGTTCAATGCGGGTTGGCGGTATGAGAAAACGGGCTGCTGGTCGGCAAAGTTGCTTGTAAATGGAGAGCTACCAAGGGTTGCAATGTGCTTTGGGACCTATTCCACGGGAAGCTCAGTTTAAAGAAAAGGTCAACTTTTAATTAATAATCTGATGGAGATCTAGCAATAAGGTTGATTTTTAGTTGGGAATCCAGCCTCATAAAGAAATGCATTACTTTATGAGATTTATGCTGTGTTTAGGGGCTTTTTGGATCTTGTAGCCATTAATGCTCATGCCATTGCTGTTTCTTTTGTTTGACTGCTTCTCTGTAGGTGTTGCGGTTAGGCATCGGCTTCTCGGTCTTCTATAATGTGTTTCTGTGTCAGGATAGCAAGCCCACTGAATAAAGCTTATACATTTCTGCCTGGTAAATATTTCTGGCTTCTCTGCGACGTGAGGACTTAATGAATGAACAAATGTGACTCTTGATGGGAAAGTGTAGCTTACGCCTGTGATGCAATTTCGTCTTTGAAGGCTGTTAACCAGGTGTGCTTGTTACTTGTACCCTTCTCAGCCTGCTTCTTGTGACTGAGTTGCAGCCTGGGCAAGGGGCGCATTAAAAACCACACATATCATGTGTGCATGGGTGAAAGTCCTATTTTTAGTGCATACAAAAAGGCATTCAGTGAAGGGCAACGAAGCTGATTTTTATTTTTAGATTTTGCAATTCCTTATGTCTTTGGGATTTATGTTTTAAAAAACTAGCTCTATCACCCTGCAAAATGTAGGTGAACCTCCAAGACCAGCTTTATTCTCACTATTGCCAAGATAACCTTTTCCCAGACATAGGCTGGTGTGGGATGTGCTGGGCAGGGTTCAGCACCAGTTCTGCCAATGTGGTTCTGGTGAGGCTCAGTGAGGTTCTGCCTCACCAAAGCCTGTTTCTGTAAGGTCATGTCTCAGGACTCTCCCCACAGCATTTTTTGTGACGTGCCCCTCTCCGAGCTCGGTATAGATTTCTCCAGGCAGACACTTGCTCGAAGCTGGCCCTTTGTATGTGTCGAAACAAAGATTTTATTTGGAAATCTGGTATCAATTTTGGAATTAATCTTGGGTTATTTTTCCATATGCCTATTCCATGAACTTGCTTGTTTTAAAATCTGTTAAAAGAAAATAGACATCTTTTTTTTCTGTTTTCAGAAGCCCTGGAGAATGGACCAAATAAGTGTGAAAGGTGAGTAAGGGACTTCACAGTTTTCCAAAATTATTATTATGGTTTTCCTGACATCACATAGCTATGTAAGCCGTACGTGTAAATATTTGTTATTGCTTGAATCTAGCGCAGCTAACAGAAAAGGAACCAGCAAAGATGAAACATACTGGAAGGAGATCAACGCAGCTATGGCCCTAACGAACCTTGCCCAGGGGAAGGATAAACTGCAGGGAACTACCAGCTGCATCATTCAGAAATCATCACATATATCAGAAGTAAAGACTGTTAAAGTGCCATTAGTTCAGCAGTTTTAAGAGATGGGTCCTTTTTCTTTTTCCTGTCAAACGGACATTTTCCTCACAGGATTGGTTTTCAGCAAAATCAGATTCACGAATACGAGGCAAATGTGGAAAATAGGCCCCCTTTTACAGTATGGTCAGTTAAAAAAAAATAATGTTCCTTCTGACTCAGACATTTTCATTGTATTAAATGAAATGTTCAATTGCTTCTATAAAAGGCATGTAAATTATAAAAAACCCTGTTTTTATCAAAACATTAACTTATTTTATGTTAATCAAAGTGCGCATAAGATGTTTGCATTGCTATTACAGTAAGTGCCTTGCTTTCAAAAAATAAGCTATAACGTGGGCATAGTACAACAGTATTATGCCTCAAAATGACAATGCCATAATGCTTAAACTTTGTATATTATTCCAAGTGGGCTTAAGCAGCCTAGGGCTAAACACATTACTGCTGGAGGCCCTGGAGAATTGTGCTTATTTGACTTGTACAAATTGACGAGTCTTAATGAAATTGTTACATCATTTTCTCTCTTTTTAATCAACAGTGTTATAAAAATTGTACAGTACGTTTTGTCAAAGTGACAATGAGGTTGTTATGCATGTTTCTTACCTGTATATGCAGTATATTAAAATACCAAAATCATTCCTTTGAAAAGTGCAATACTCTAGAACACACAAATTTAGGAAATAAGTTAATTGTTCAGATTATTTTGAACTTTATACATATGCTCCCAGCTGTGTTGCTCATTAAAGATTTCTAGTTGAGAAGGTTCTAGCCAGACTAGCTGTAAATTCAAGTTGAATTTCTATAATTTTAAAGCTTTGCTAGTGACTTACTGAAGTTTTGGTAGAAGTAAAAACTATTTCTTCTTGTACAAAACTAAATCTATAGTGCCATTTATTATGTGCGGTGGAGCTCAAAAAAGTTTCCATGGTGGAAATTATTACTTTAATGTGGTTTAAACATTTTAATATTGTATGTACTGCATAAATGAGGACGATTGATTGACAGTTCACATTTCAGTGAGAAAAAGCTATAATATAAACTATCAAAGCCCAAACTAGAAACACAAATGGGAAATGAAACATTGAAAAATCTTAGCATTTACGGTGGGAGGGTTCTAAGTAGGTACTAAACCATGTATTAAATGTCATGTCTCTAAACTTGACTGCTATTGAGCGTAACAACTAGCATAAAACCAGGTTTATTTTTAAGGTTTATTGGGAGATGTACAAGTTATTCTAAGTCATATAACAATAGTCTAATGAGGTTTACAGTGCTTGAATAAACAGTGGCAAAGCCAAAAATGATATATACTGAATCAGTTACAGAAAACTGGAAAAGAGCTGATTGTTGCTAGGATTTGGATTTTTTTCCTGTGGGTATCCTGTCAGGTTTTTTCCTACTTATCCCTTTCCTCATTTCTCTTTTTGGTGAGCCATCGATGAACAAGACAAGACTTTAGTCCTGCTCCCACTGAGTTTAACGGCAGAACTCCCACTTCAGTGGAAGCAGGACTGTGCTAATGATGAAACTAACTTGCAAGTAGAGGCTGTTCCAGTTGCACTAAAATAGTCAAGATACATTGCAAATATCAGCCTTGGTGTGATGACTTAGGAAACTTCTTGATGTAACATAACATGTTGTTGGGTTTATTTAGTGTACAATGAAAATGATTTGATATGAAAATATTTTGTACATATATATTTTTACTTTGTTTTCTAAATTGCTGATTTGCATTGACTTAAAGTGCCAAGCAAGAAACGTACGTCATGACTGTATGAACAGTTGAAGTATATGTTTTACTGACTTGCATCATTATGTGTCTAAGATTCCATGACATTAATTTTTGATACTTTGCTGGATTTTGACATAATAATGTGAGTTTATAACTAATAGCAGAGAGTTAATACTTCACTTTTGTTCATACTATTGTAAGTTATTCTGGTATTAAATATTTTGTGACAATAAATTGATGGTTTTGACAAACTTTTCTGTTAGAAATATTCACAGTGTTTTTGTCTGTATAAACGACAACAAAATTTGTCATATAAAAAAGGTACTTTTGGGGACTTCTCTGGAGTAAAACTGGAGAAGACAAGCCATTGTATAAACAACTTGTTCATGGTTCTTTTTTTAAATTATCAAAGCACAAAGAATAATCTGTAAAACACATCAAGTGGGTTTTAAATTTAAGAAATACTTGGCATAATTTCTTGTTATCATTTCCTTTAATTTATTTTTTTCTACTGCTGCTTTAGAGTTTTCTGAAAACACAAAGTCTAATGAATTCTGTGTGTCTTTTTTTAAATAACAGAAATCATGATCAGTGCTGAGCCAACAGCTAATGAAGACTCAATAATTATTTATGATATTGGAAAAACAAACATTATTACTATTGCTCTTCTTTGTTTCAACATATGTAACCATTTTAGTAAAATAAATAACTGCAAACAACATCTTGCTGGTTTGAATTAAATATTCATTTATCTGTCCTTAGTCATTTGCATTTCTGGTTTCCTGTTACAGTCAGGGTTTCTCTATACTGGGATACAAGCATGTGATAGGCAAAGACAAAACAGCAATGCTAGTCTTTCAATTAATACACCTTGTGCTGCACAGTTATGTGAAGTAGTTTAGCACATCCCTGATGAAAATGACTGTTCAGCAAGTTTAGGCTAATGGCTGCTAATGACAACATGGCATGATGCTTATAAATCCTCCACGTTGGAGCTGTGCAGAGAGAAGCCATAGCTAATCACTGTCCTGAGTCACTGGAGAAGGTCCATGATCTAGGAAAGACTTTGGTCGTTTAGGTTTTTTTGTGAGTACAGGCTACATTTGTCTACAGTACCATGTATGGATACACTCTGGCTGTGGAGCCTTGGTGGAGAAGGAGATGCAGTCGGCCCATCTAGAAGTTCAGTGCTCATAGTAATGAGAGCCCAGTGCAACTCGTCTCCTAACTTTCGTGCCTCAGCAAAGTTCTTCCGGTTGCATGGCGGGGGTGATAACTAAGGTTTTGGTGGGCACTTGGCGCTTTAGGTTTTATGTCCTGCTTATCTGTGATATATGTATACCACAGTAACATCTGTGGCTATCCAACATGTCACCAGAGAGGTGGATATTCAGTTGATATGCGAGTTCCTGAGGGAATATGTACAGCCTGACTTTTGCTGTTGGGAGTGCGTAGAAACACCCGCATCCTCATGATGCTGAGCTTCTTGGCATCTACTTTGTACCCCAGTCTGACATGAAGTAACCAGATCATTCTGGTCCCACCTACTCTGTCACATAATTTGCAAGAGCTGAGCACTCCCAGCCTCTTATAAACCATTGAGAGTTAATGGGAGCTCCAATTTTGCCAGGTTGCTCGGTAGTTAGAATATACATTGGGATCAGGACTACAGTCTCCTCTTCCAGCATCATACAACAGCTACAACCACTGAGCTATAGTTCTCACTTTGTGGCCTCATGATCTGAGTTGGTGACCTAATGTATAATTATGTATGCCTGGTGAAGCAGTTCCACCAGGGAGGCTGAGAGCAAGTCCCGGCATATCCTGCAGAATATCACAAGGAAGAATGGATTTAGCTTAGGCTAGGGGAAAGGCTATGTGGGCTTAAACCTGTTTCTTCATTATCAGTTTACTCAGCGAGTTTTTCATTATGTGCCCTGGCTTTGATGAATGATGTTTTTATCCACCTAAACTATCCATCAGTGGAGATCCACAACACCAAATGTGAGATGCTATTACAGGAAGCAGCCTTGATTATAAAAATGAGTAGGACCTCTGATAATCATGAGCTTCTGGAACTCACCATACTCTTAATGCCTGGAAAGTCCTCCTTTGTACCCCCTGTGACATCTCCAGCAGTGGGAGAGAATGTGGGAATTGTTCTGCATCAATCAAAAGTGGACCTGCACGAGGGAAAGGAATTTGTGGCTGCCCTGGGGATGCTCTGGAATACCAGGGAACTGCCTTGTCTCCCTGCTTCGTCACAGTGAGTGAATACTGGTGCTATCAGGTAGCGTGCCGGTGGGGCACACCACACCCTGCCTACCAAGGCATGGCCAAGCAGCGGGGCTGCAGCCACCAAGCTCAGACCCTCCTTCAGGAATCCTTCCAGAGGGTTTAAGGCTCAGTTATGCCTCTGTTTCTTTTGGTCTTGAGGAAGCCCTGGGCCATATTCCCCTGCATGGCTTCCATGGGCTGGAGGAGATGGGTGTATCTGCTGGTAAGTCCCCTGTGTGGGGTGGAAGATGAGAATAAGCGTGACTAGTCATCCAACTTGCCAAAGCTGCAACAAAGCTCCTATAAGTTGAGCTCCACCAGGGCTATACAAGTCTTATTCCTAATTTCTGCATTCAAAAGAGCATTGAGGACCTCAGAGCAGCCTTGGCAGAGCCGGGATCCCAGTACTGCCAGGAGAGAAAAGCAATTACAACAGCAAAGTTTGTCACTGCTCCTTGGGCTGGGTACTGCCTCAGATGCCCACTTGCTATGTGGCAAAGGGAAGGGTGCAGCTGTCTTGTATCATGGCTGACTTCCTCGCACATACCAATGTTGTTTGCTGTGAAATCTCATGTCCTGCTATGAAGCCTTTAACTCAAGTTGTGCTTCCACTCAGTCCTTAGTGTGACTACACTTTCTTAAGCCCTGGTCTGTTACTTGCAGGAAAATGGAGCCTGGACTCGGCACAGGCTGAAGATACCAGACCCTCCAGTACTCCACAAGCAGCTCTAAAGTCCAGTGGGTACCAATTCAGTGGTCACAGTGACAGCTTCAAGTGTGACAGACCCCTGTTTTATTCCTGTGTTACTATGATCAATCTGTGAGACTCTTGGAGAATCAGAAAGAACCTCAAAGGGATCCAGGCTCCTAACTTAACAAATCCAAGCATTTCTGAAGGTCCAAGGGCCAAGGAATATTTCCATGGCCAAGTGCAGACAGTTGCATGCCTGCTTTGAGCCAGCTGGACAGAAATGTGGTCTAGTTCAGAAACTGGGT